CATAAAATAGAAGAAGATTGGCAACAGATGTTAGCTCACAATCTTCCTCAAGCAAAAAAAAAAAAAAAAATCCTCAATTTAATCACATCCTTTGCCATATAAAGTAACATTCCCAAATTCCAGGGACTAGATATATACATATCTCTTGGGGTTCACCATTCAGCCCACTAAAGAAGCCAAAATATCAGAATTCATGTTGGGAAATATATGTGTTTTGGTATTGGTAACAGCATACTTCAAAATAGATAAAGCCTCCAGCCGAGGAGGATGAGAAAGAATTGGGAGCACCCATTAAAGTAGGAGAAAGTCAGGAAGAGCCTGTGTGTGAAATCTTGTCCAGGTGTGACTGCGGTGCTTGCCGAAGGCTTATCATGGTAGTGCATACAGATTTTGAATGTGTGTTAGTCGGTGTCTGTAGAAGAATTTCTTCAGAAGACGTAGTACCCCATAAATGCTGCTGCTCTATTTAACAGACTTTTCCCCTTATAACCAGGCCGTCGTCTTAAGTTAGTTGAAACCTATGGATTATAAATATAAGAGTATGATGCAACTTGGCTTTCGTGCAGCAGGTATAAACTTAGATGTAAATGCTGTTTGAAATCTAAGATGTGGTTGACTTTTAGCAGTCTGTCTTCAAAGGATGGGTGGCAGAGAGGGTACCTTTGTTCTGGGCACATGGATCCATAACAGCCAGGACTTTGGGGCCACCTGGTTAGAACAGCCTGAGAACATGTGGGTCATCTGAACTCTCACTGCCTCCTCCAAGGCTGCAGGGACAATTCTGCTCTGCTGCCAGTGTGCAGAGTGTCCTGCTAAGGGGTGGTGAAAAGCTGTAACTTTTTACGCTCTTTTGAGCTGTGAGGCATCGTCGTCTTCTGTACTGGGTCTAGTAGGTGGCAGTAAAGCTTCCTTTTTTAATTCATACCTTGTAAGTTTGTGTTCTTTGTAAGACCCATTCCTTTGGAGGAAAAAGAACCCCTTCTCAGTTCTACTTTTGGAACTAGAAAATGAGTGTTTAACTAGACCAACACATCATGCTATTATATGAACTTTACTTGATAATGTTGATGGGACCCTATAAAAAAGGATCTGCTTTCAGGAGATATTCAAAACCCTTCTCCGAATTTCAGAGGGCACGTGGAATCTGGTGTAACACTGGCATGTAAGCTTTGTGAGGTAGAGACCTTTATTTTGTCTGCTACTGTGTCCTCAGTACCTAGAAGAAATGATGAATGAATGAATGCACTCTTAAGTATCTTGTCAGAAAGGCCATTCATATTATAGATGACAAATGACAAGAAAATAATAATTGGATTCAGGAGTCTTCATTGAGAGTTTGAGATCCACTATTAGCTTAGTGTGATAGTACAATTGCTGATTAAACTGGGTCAATTCAAAATTATTAATAAAATTGTGTGAGAAATAATACTTATTTTTCTCTTATCAAGAAAGGAAATTTTGACTTTTCAGTTTTTCTCCTGTGTGAATGACTGTTTAGCTCACAGTCTTGGTATAATATATTATGTATCAGGGATGCATAATAGATATATTTATTTATTTTATTTATTTATTTTCTTGAGGAAGATTAACCCTGAGCTAACTGCCGCCAATCCTCCTCTTTTTGCCGAGGAAGGCTGGCCATGAGCTAACATCCATGCCCATCTTCCTCTACTTTATATGTGGGACGCCTACCACAGCATGGCTTGCCATGTGGTGCCATGTCCACACCCAGGATCCGAACCGGTGAACCCCGGGCCACCAAAGCAGAACATGCGCACTTAACCGCTGTGCCACTGGGCCAGCCCCATAATAGATTTATTTTTAAAGAACATTTTGGCAACCAGAAGTCCTGCTATAGATGCATAAAATATTTTAAATTTCCTAAGATTTTTTTACTAAAAAAGGTGTAAGATATATGTGATGAAGTTTTGTTTCTTTCATCTGAGCACGTGAATGCTTAGTGGGTGGCAGGAAATGATTCTTAGAAATAAGCATTTTATTTTTATTTAATCTAACATTTTTTTGAATAAGTGTATTCAGTACTCTTAAAAAATAAGAAGAAATGGTGTTATCCCATTTTTTCTTCTTTTAAATTTTTAAAATGAATTTGTTTCATTTTATCTTTGGTATAATTATTAAACTATTATTTCTTACTTACTTGACAGAGTTACAGCGTCTTGTACCAATATGTCTGTTACTGTTTTACAGTAGTGTTTGGAAATCTAAATGTTATATCACTAATTAGAGAGTTAATATCTAATGATTTCAAATTTTATGTAGGAATACTTAAGTAAAAATAGAAAAATAAGTATAATCAAGAACGGAACTCTTTAATTTTTTAAAAAACTATTATTTATCTTATTTTGGTAGCATTGGTTTATAGCATTATATAGATTTCAGGTGTACATCATTATAATTCCACTTCTGTATTCACTACATCACATTCACCACCAAAAGTCTAGTTTCCATCCATCACTGTACAAATGTCCCCTTTACCTCTTTTGCCCCCCTCCCCCAATGTGGTAACCACCAGTCTGTTTTCTGTATCTATGTGTGTGTTTGTTGTTGTTGTTTTTGTCTTCCACTATTTCATTTTTTTCATAGGAACTCTGAGTTTAACATTCATATTTTATAAATTTGGCGTGTGTTTGTTATCATTTGGGCCATATTTCTTCAGTAAAACAAAGTGAGAAGGGGCGTCAGCTTTTCTTTTTCTTTCCCTTTAAGTCCCTCTGATGTGCTTGTGCAGAGGTTCATGCACATATCCTGCATTTATTCATTTGTTTAGTGAATTCTTGCTGAGCCTCGATCAAGTGGTAGGCACTAGGTTGGGCTCTTGGAGTATATCACTTTAAAGAGGAAGAACTGACGATGTTTACTACCAATGGTGAAAATCACTTTTCCGAGCAAAAATTAGAGCTTTGGAGAACACGTCTGCCATTATGAGCTTGACAGTTTTCCGGTGCTTACTCTTCTGATGTGATTTATACTGACAGCGAATGTGATGTGTAATGAAATGTGTCAGTATTTGGAAGGTCATTATTACTCAGTGGACCAGTGTTATCTAAACGACCAATGAGTCATATTACAAGATCACGCATGGTGTAGAAGATTCATTCAGTGTGCAGTATAGACCAGTGGATTTTCACGTGGCAGACTACAGAAAGTTCATCGATGTGGTCTCAAAGTCCACACTGTGATTAATCTTTTAGAAAACTACCACTTGTCAAATGCTGGTGTAGTATCAGAGGAGGATGTCCATGACCACTTGAAGACTCTTTTCCATTGCCAGCTACATATCTGTTTGAGCAGGTCTTTTTCCTATATTTCAACCAAAATGACGTACTGCAGCAGAATGAATGCAGAGGCAGGTATAGGAATCTGGCAGTCATCTTCTAAACCAAACATTAAAGAGGTTGGCAAAAATTTCTGCTCTTCTCCCTAATATTTTTTAGGAAATAAGATTATTTTCATAAAAAGCATTTGTTATATGTAGTGAGTTTATTATTACTTTTAAAGGCTATACTAAAAGAATTTAAATTTTCTTCTTTTCAGTTTCTAATACAGTAAACATTATGGATGTAATCTACATAAACAAAAATTTGTTGGGGTTCTCAGTAATATTGAAGGGTATGAGGAGGTCTGAGGTAAGATGTTGGACAAGTGCTGACTCAGAGGAATGACTCCATGTGGAAATCTGTGTTGGGGTGAGAGTATGGAGGAGCTTACATTTTATGCTGAGAGACTTGTGCTTTACAGTAAATGCTAAGGAGTCAGAATATTTTGGAGCAGAAAAGTCATACAATCAAAATGGTACACACAGACATGAGATTAATCTGGAGGTGATAGATGCATTAGGATGGAAGGGGTTAAATAGAATGGGAGAGCAGTCACAGCATTAGCAGAAGGGCAGATAAAAGCTGTTAGGGCCTGACTTAAGTTGGTCTAAAAGAGAGACTTATGCAGATAGTATTGACCTAGGTACTCATGGGATAAGGAGAGGGAACAGGCAGGTGTTAGCTCTGAGCTTAGGTAACGGGGTCAGGAGAAGCTGACTTTCGGGGAAAGTTCAACTGCTTTCAAATTTCTGTAGTACTATGATTAAGCATTTGAGATTGAAATACCAGGTAGAAATATTCAGCAGAGAAGTGAAAATTGAGGCCAGGTAGCCTTCCAGCTCTTGTAGCATCAAGGAATACCTCTGATGCCACATTAAAATTAAGAAGAGTTATGAGGTATGCAAAAGGTGATCTGGTTGCTAAAACTTTGTATTTTGGTAGCTAGGCTATAGTTTTTGTCAGAATCTGATAAAATATACATTTATTTACTCTGACGTGCTTGGTGCTGTACCGTGTGTTCTTACAGTTTCTTTGTTTGTGTGTGTGAGTGTGTGCATGGTTTTTATGCTCTGGTAACCCTTGTTCTTTCATTTCCCTCACTTATTTACAGCATTGTAAAGAAGGTTATTCTCCTATGTAGAACAATAAAGTGTTTAAACAAGTTATGATAAAGATTTACCAGTGAAAATAGACTTCTTTCCCTTTCTTTTAAAAAAATGAGAGAGTCACTGGTATGTGAAAGAGAAACGTTTGTTTCATATCCCTCTTATGATAAGTGCTTTTTGTTGAAATTCCTTGGTTCTGTGTGGATGATTTACCAAGGCTTTTTAAAACGGCTGAAAATATGCTCTAACAACCATCTGATAAAATGAAAAACTGAACAAAATGTGTACTCAGATGAATGATTCTCTGAAGAAATAATGGTGTAAATGAATTATCAAAGTGTGAAATCATTAAAAACAAAACATGTTTGGGTTTTTATTGAATCTTAATTGCAGGCTTATGTATTTTCTTTTGTAAGCTAAGTTAAAAGAAAATTGCCTAACTAAATTTTTGGAGGCCAGTGTTGTGGGACATATATTGTACCATAATTTATTTTTCACATAAAAGCTGCGGTTCATTTTTTTCCCCAGCATTAACATGCATGCTCTCCTCTTGTAGGAGAATATATAAAAAACTGGAGGCCAAGATACTTCCTTTTGAAGACAGATGGCTCGTTCATAGGGTATAAGGAGAAACCTCAAGATGTGGACCTACCTTATCCTCTCAACAACTTCTCAGTGGCAAGTAAGTTGATTAGGATTGTTGAGTCACGTTGTGTGTGTTTCTTTGTGTGACCTTATGTGTGAGATGTCTTAGGATGTATGAGGATCCTATGAGAAAGTTTAGTTTGTGTTTAATAGCAGAGAAATTTTCAGCTTTGGTAGAATTTCAGTTTCTCAGTTTAGGGATTATCGATAATATGTGGTCTTATAGAATGTAATATCGTTTAATATCTTTTATAGTTAGAACTTGAATGTGATAAACACAGTTCTCCAAATGTATACCTAAGTTTTTCTTTATAAAATGTAAACAAAGACCTTTGAAATTGGCTGCTGGAGTGAACGTGGTTGTAAGACATTGCAGTACTCAGTGCATTTCTAATCAAAGTTTCCCGTCATAATCTTAGCTCTTTTGATTGACTGTATGGTGAGAAACAAGTGGTTTACATTAGAAATTATTTTCTGGGGAGATTTTTCTTTGTAGTTAAATTTTTATTCCTTACAAATATCTAGCAAAAATTTTCATAATTTAAATTTATTTAGAAATGATAATAGTTGCTTGAACATAGCACAAAGTAAAATGAAAGATGATGATGATGGTTATTGTTGTTATGACCAGGCTCTTCAGAATGTTCAAATTACTGATTAACCAATGAAAAGGTTTTTCCGTGTTAATTCAGAAATAAGGCATTTTAAAAGTTAGGTTAAGTTAAAGTAAACTTGCGAAAGGGCTAAAGTCTGTACTGTTGAGGTAAAATCTTTAGATACCGTTCTTAATTTTGATTTTGGTTGTGTGTTGTTATCTACCAGCCATATTTAGAGGAGATATGAGGGAAAATTGAAGTAAAAAAATACAAAAGACGATAAAATACAACATCAAAAAATCCAAGATAACAAAAGTCCTTGAAAGTTACAAAAGTCATTTTACCTTTATAAGAGTGCCAGGGCTTTTTATGGATACTCTCTTTTAATTTTTTTAAAGAATAAACTTAAAACAGTAAACCAAAGGGTTTATGAAATCACTTGAATGATAAGGTTACTAGCTTTAAAAAAACACAAAACTCTCCATTTGTTTAGGGGATTCTTATATAAGGATTTCACTTAAAAAAAAATGAGAACACTGTTTATGTGTTAGTTAAGATTATTTTCTCCCCCACCAAAATGCTCATTAGTTATTTATGGCTTTCTTTCAGTAGGAAATTATTTAAAAAATCCTATTGTCAAATTAAAATCTTGTATTTCATATTGACTTAAGAACACATTTTCATTCTAAAGATCTTTCGGGTGAACATTTGCTTTAAAGTAATAGAAATTGGCTTTTAAAACATTAGCAGTGTACATTGTCACATCCTACCTAAAGCAAGTATGGTTTCTTAGTTTCTTTATTTTACTAGCAAATGCTATTGGTTTGTATGAAATAATTTATAAAAGTATAGAATTCCTGTATCTGCTGATCAAAATGCGGCATTTTTTGACCTTATGAAATTTCACACCCCAACCAATTTTAAAGACATACTGTATGTCACAGTCTGCCAACATCTGCTCCAACACTTCCACTGGCAGAGGCGGAAATAGATGCTGCGCTCTTGGGGAGGGATCCTATTTACTGGCTGACAGTCAGCTTATCCACGAAATAAACATTAGCTGACATCTGTAATCTTTTCTTGTATAATCAAGTAGTTGTAGGTAGTTGGTGCAAACTAACAAGTAAAGTTAGAGACCAGCTTAACATGGATCTTATAATGAATAAACTACTTTAAATTGATTATTCTTAAAGCTTGACTTATTGAAATCTTAAATTTTATAGATAATAATTACCTGAGGAAATAATGAGTAGTGAAATGGGCAGTGGTTGAAGAAATAGTGCAAATTGCAGCTTTGCCATAAGCCGTGAATATGACCTTGGGCAGGTCATTCTCTGAAACTCTGGTCTTTTAGTTCCTTTATCAGCATAGTGAAAACAGTTGGATTTAATGAATTTGTAAGGCCCTTTTTGTCTCTAACATTCTGTGAGGGGGAGTTTGAGCAGGCCCTAGAAGACTGAAGAGGAGTTAAGCAAATTAAAATAGAGGAGAAGGATATTCCAGGCAGAGGGTGATGAAGAATGTGTTTATGAGACATTAAGAGAAGGGACAGTTGGAGCAAAAGAGGATTACTTCACCAATAGTTTCCCTTTTGCCCCAGCCCCATTTGGTATATGAAACAAGAGACTATTTTACACCCTATTTCTAAGGTATGTTGGAAACTGTTATATATACATATATTCCATTGATAGCTGCAATGTGAGTCCTCTGTTTTCCTGATAAGTAAAAATGGTACTTCAAATTTAATCTATGTGGGTTTTGTTTTGTTTTGTCTTGTTTTGTTTGAGGAAGATTAGCCCTGAGCTAACAACTGCTGCCAATCCTCCTCTTCTTGCTGAGGAAGACTGGCCCTGAGCTAACGTCCGTGCCCATCTTCCTCTATTTTATATGTGGCACGCCTCCCACAGCATGGCTTGATGAGTGGTGCACAGGTCTATCCCTGGGATCCGAACAGGTGAACCCCTGGCCGCCAAAGCAGAGCATGTGAACTTAACCACTGCGCCACTGGGCCAGCCTCAAATATAGGTGGATTTTAATGGAATTTTAACAAACTAGGCTTTTTATCAATATGAAAAATTAAATTATGAGAAGTAGAAGGGTGGTAGAATTGATCTTTCCAATCTTCATTAAATTTGAAATCCCTTCTCTTCTGATTTAAAATTTCCAATAATTGTTTCTACTTCTCAGTCCCCCGCAGTCCAGCTTTCTCTCTTATTCACTTGATTGAACCACTTTTAATAGATTCTCCCATGGCCACTCAATCTCTAAGGCCAGTGGACATTTTTCAGTTCTTCTCTTCTTGGATTTACATCTGGGCTCCATTTTATTTTGTTGATCACCGCTTCCTTCTGGGGATGATCCTCCCAGTGTGCTCTGGGCTGCCTCTCCCCTGGTTTTCTTTCTTTGCCTATTGCAGGCATTTTGGTGTCTAACTGGGTTCTGGCCAAGGCCTCTTTTCACTTTGAACCCTCTCCCTGGGGATCACATTCACTTTAAAGTTTCAGTCAGTACCTGTATACAGTTTCCTCTCATACTTACATATCTTCAGGGCAGGCCTCTCCCCTGAACATTAGGTTACTCCATTCAGTGGACTACTGGACATCTCTCTCCAGGTGTTTTTTGGACTCAGCATGCCCTAAGCTGAACTCAGGGTGATTCAGTATCTCAGGTCTGTCTAGAACAGAAACATGGATCCGTTCCCTGCCTTCCTTTTCTTCACATCTTCTCCCTACTCCCAGTTCTTTTCTAATCTTGCCGATTTTGCTTCTTATTTCTTGAACTTACGTCCTTTCCTGTGGTCAGCCTAGGACAAGCCCTCGTCATCTCTGCTGTAGATTCTTAACTGGAGGCGCCGCCTCTAGTTTCCACCACTCATATTCTTCCTTCATGTGACTGGCAAAGTGATCTTTCTAAAATTAAATCCAACTGTGTCATTCCCCTGTGAGGGCTCTGGCCTAGATCTTCATTGCCTGCTGGATAAAGTCCAGCTTCCTTAACATGTCATACAAGGATCTCCTCAGTCTGGCCTCTGCTTTCACTTCTCGCTTCGTCTCCCTTTGCTGTGCAGTTACACTTCGGCAGTGCAGAGCTGTCTGTAGTTCCCTGTACACACTACGCTGCTTTTCTACCCTGAGCTTTGTTTGTTTGTTATTCCCTCTGCTTGGAATGTCCTCCTGTGCTCTGTTTGCCTGGATAATTTTTTTTCATCCTTTAAGACAATTCAGATTTAAGTTCCAAGCCTCATTCCTTGCTAAGTTACTCCTCCCTGCCCTTCACAAAACTGTTATCTTTTGTCATTTTCGCATTGTTTCTTGGTTACTTTCTTCATGTGTATGTCTCATCCACTAGTCTGTGAGGTATTTTAGGGGAAAGAGCCTAGTGTTATCTTTATCTCCTACTGCCTACATATTAGGCTTGATAATTATTTTTGAGTGAATGTCTGAAAACATCTAGTCCAGGTTTTTCCTTTTTCAGATGAGAAAAATGGAGCCTTTGGAAATTCATTGGTGTGGTTAAGGTCGCTCTAGTAGGTAGTGCTAGTTAAGTTTCAGGATTAAAACTCAGGTTTCTCTGCTGCCATTTAAATGTTATTTCCCCACCCCCATTCTGTGACATTTTCCCTATATTAAGAGCCTTGAGATCTGATTTTGGGTTGGAGTTCCAACACTTAAATTGCTAGATATCCTTTGGCATGTAGAACATAAACTCTCCAAGCCCTATAAAACGTGGATGATGGTCTTTGACCTTCGTCCTTCTTTGGGTGGGTCAAATATGAGCTGTATGTGAAGGTGCCTTCTAAATATACTACTGTAGAAATGTAAGTAAAAATAGTGTTTTTTTCAAGCAAAGTACATCTCTAATCACAATTATGGTTTGGTAAATTGCTAATTATAGATTGATATTATCTTTGCACAGGAAGGAAACATTACATTTTGACTGAAAAATAACCTAAGATATACACAAGCATTGTTGTAGAGCTGCCTTCAAAGGTGCTTTGAGCACAATAGCTTGTCTCCCCAGTAGTCGTCGTCTCTGACATCTCGGCAGTTATCAGCCCAACTCAGAAGTGTAAACAGTCCCTCGGTGGAGAACTTGAACATTTGCCCACGTGTCTTGGGGCTCATCCTACTTTTTCTCTTTTCCTTCTTGCTCTCAGTGGTGAGAAGGGAGAAGTGCCAGCCTGTACCCCCGAAAGAACCTCCTAGAGAATTATACCTTATTCTGTGTTGCAAATATGGGCCCACTCTGACAGTATCCCTTTCCTTTCTGAAACCTTTCTTCAATCCCTTTTTTTAAAAATAGATCGGTCTGCATTTCTTAGGCCAATTTTAAAAGTGAAATGAAATGTTTACTCACTAGCCTATTTTCTTCTCTTTGAAAGAAAGGAAGTTATGGGACTTAAACCTACCCAAAAACACCTTTACTGCTGAAAAAAATATTA